TTTATGTCCAGCTGATCGTACAATCCATGTCCAACATTCTCCAGTTGCTCCTCAAACGGACTCTTAGATCTATTAAGTGACTTCTCAAAACCCCTATTCTGATGACATGCAAAAAATCCTGATTTTTTTTTGGTGGGAGGTACTGACCTAAGTTAACCTACCACTGAGAAATGGCAGCCATAATGGAATTGTTTTTTCCCGAAAATGTTGCAGATCAGTTACAACAAACCGAACAGCGACCGTCAAGGAAAAAACTTACTCTGGGCTCCTTTTTGACCACAGCAGCTATGAGGAAGCAGTTGCAGCTTCGATAAGGGCCCCCTGGACCTCAAAACCAAGCAGCTGAACCCGATTACAGGTAGGAGCATCTTGGGCCCGGCCCCGAACTCAGGGCCTAGGCACTGTCCCTGAGCTGCTTTGGCACAAGGCTAGCACTTTACCACTGGAGCGACAGCACCACTGAGGTGCTGAGGAATCGAACCCAAGGAAAGCACTTCTACCACTGAGCCACCTCCCAGACCCCCAACTCCTGTTTTTAAAGCCATCCCTCATGTCGATTTACCAGCGCTAGCGACTGGACCAAGCCTACTGTACACTGAGGCCTGACGCCTGCTACGTCTTCCCCAAATTAGGCCTGGTCCAAAACCCAAGGGGTCCCGGCAAGTCGAGCCATGTTACTGGTCCAAAGCCATCCACAGGCCGATTACATTGCTCTCCCAACCTCCTCACCCCGGGCCCAGGTCAGCTCTGCAGCCCCAGGAGGGTTACAGACCATGCTTCTGGTGCACACTCACCCGTCAGACCTCAGCGAGCCCCCGGCGCAGGCCGGGGCGCAGGGCGCCGGCCAGGAGACTCCGGCCCCTCTCTCTGCGCATGCGGCCGCCACCATCTCTGCAGCCCAGGCAAGAAGGTCGGGAAGCTGCACTCCCCATCCCGCAGCCTTGGGGGATAACCAGACTATTATCACGGAGGCGGTAAAGAGGTGAGAGGAGCGGAAGGGAGAGATGGGGAAGAGACGGAAATGAGACGTACGAGGCAACAAAAACAAGAGCAGCGGCGGCGGGGAAAAAGGACTGACTAGGCGCTGCCACCGGCTTATATACGCTTCCTCCCCCCCCCGCCCCGCCGTCCGCGCAAAGCCACCTGGGAAATGTAGTCTGTCGGGATTCCCGGGGCTGCTGGGGAATGTAGTCCACGCGTCTTGTATTCCAAAGCCCACCCTGCGGGCCGGCTGGCTGCGACAGCGCCTCTCGCAGCGGGGACCCAGGGCGAGAAGCAGTTTCTGCCCCTGGGCTCGAGAGTGCAGGGCTCACACCCGAGGCCTCCCCGCGGGATTCGGTCCCTGGGGTAACTTGGCATTAACCTCGAGTGCTGAGATCGGACTCTCTCCGAGCGCCAGGGGCTGCGGGGAGCAGCGACCGGGAGGGCCCCGGAGCGGCTCGGGGAGGGCTTCCCGGAGGAAGCGTGCAGGACTGGAGTCCGAAGGGAGAGGCGGGCAGGCAGGCAGTCAGGGCGGAAGTGTTTGGTGTAAGGTTTGACTCAAAAATGGCGCCTTGATCACAAGATGGCGCGGGCCGGCGTGAGGGTCGTGTAAGTAGCTCTCTGATTGGATAAAAGATTTCTCCGCCTCTAGTTTGTCGCGCCCATACACAGGCGGATCAGAAAAGGATCTCCAAAACTTTCCGTGGAAAACGCTAGACAAGCGGGTAACGCGAGGTACTCAGGAGGCTGAGATCGAGGTTGATCTGAGCTGGTGTCTCTTCAGCGTTGATTCTTCACCTGGGATCCTCAGAAGAGCCACGCACCCGGACGACGGCCCAAGCGCTGGGGACGCCGGAGCCTGGCCACTGACCTCAGTGCCGGGGACTGGAGTGGACACGCCCATGTAACCCCCCCCCCTCCAGGGATGGGGGGGACGATAGACTACCGCTGGGAGCCTCTTGTGGTTTGCTAGGATTCAGCCTGATTCTACTGGTCCTGGAATTCTGGAAGGCTAAATGCAAATGAGGCTCAAGAAAAGAGCCTGAAGTGTCCGGCAGGGATGAGGTCCCAGGCTGGGAATGTGGCTCAGGGTAGAGTGCTGGTCTCGTGACGCCCTGGGTCTGGTTCCCCAGTACCACATTCACAGAAAAAGCCGAAAGTGGCACTGTGACTCAAGTGCTAGTATTGAGCACATAGAGGCTCAGGGACAGTGCCCCGGGCCTGAGTTCAACCCCCAGGACTAGCAAAAAAGAAAATGACGTGGCAAAACCACTGTGTCCAGGATATGCGTGTGTGCTATGCTACGTGACACAGCTTGTCCGCCTGGTAACTCACCTCGGGTAATCAGGAAAATCTGAGCTGGATACTAGTGGCCC